TGGGTGAACCCGAGTTTGGGCGGTAACATTTCATGATAATTTCTAACACCTTTTGATCCCATAGAGTAACAGCTATAAGGAAAGATTGTGAATGGCTCTAAAGCCAACAGATTAGCATAAGATAAGGCATAAAGGAATGCGCATGTCAAGTGACCAGTTAGAAGGACGGGACAGAAGGACCATCGCTGTACCAAGCCTGGACCCTGGACTCCCAGTGTGAGTGAGGAGCGGATCCTGACCAAGGGACCTTCCCGGTGACCCCTCAGACAGTGCTGATCAGGGACGCCTGACTTCGCTAGAACGACTTGGCACGCACCTGGCATAGAGGGACTGCCGATAAGTTGCCAACCCCATGTGGGAACTCTTTGTCATTCTGTCTATCTGTTAACATTCACTATTAGTTCTTTATTACTGTACTATCTGTTTGTCGCATTAACCTTTCTGTTAACTGTTGTATGCTAAGCTATATTTGCCTTTACTTCACTCCCGGCTCGCCTGCTTGATCCCAAACTCAGCAGCCTCACGGCTGATACACTCACAGAACCTAGCCAGCCTGTGACAGGGTGCTCTCTGTCCCACTCAGGCCACAGTGCATCAACTGCAGCTTTTGCAGGCAGCAGTGGAGTGAGTACAGCCCCACATGGGCTGAAGGGAGGAGAAGGGGACACCAAGAAGGGGAGCCTATGGCACCTCCTGTGCCAGACTGTGGCTTCCATGCCACACCCAGGTGGCTCAGACATGTCCCCCCCCTCACGTCAGGCAGCATCTCCTGGCCACCCCTACACCTATCCCTGCAAGCACAGACACCATCCCCCAGCACTGTCAGCCTGGACACACAGCTCCCCCCTTCCCCCAAAGGGCCACCCACCCCCTTCCTACACTGTAGGGACAGGTGCCTCCAAGAAGGCCCCACTGGCAACAGCATGGAGCTGAGCTTGCTGGCAGCACCAAGCACTGCCTCATGCCACCTGCAGCACCCAGCCCTGGTGCCCAGACATTTTCCCCTAGCATTGGAGGGGATGGTATTGTTGAGGATTTGATGGTATTGTTGAGTTTTTTGGTGAAAAGGGGAGTAGGATCTTCTTGTACTTCTTTGTAGTAGGTGGTGTCAGAAAGCTGTCTGTTGGCTTCCTTTATGTAGTCTTCACGGTTTAGGATGACTATGGCTCCTCCTTTATCTGCTGGTTTTATTACTATTTGGTGGTTAGATCTTAGAGATTCTATGGCCTTTTTCTCTGGTAGAGAGAGGTTGTTGTGGTGGCGCGTGTTGCTGATTATTTCATTGTTCATTCTTTCCCTGAAGCAGTCAATGTAGCGGTCAAGGTTAGGGTTTTGTCCACTGTGAGGTGTCCAATCTGATGTTTTTTGGGGCTTTTTGGCATTGATCCTTTCCTGAATGTTGTCAGAGGATGAGTTGTTGTTGGGAGTGGGTTCAGTTTGGTCGTGGAAATATTCTTTGAGGCGCAGGCGTCAGAAGAATTCTTCTAGTTCTCTACATTGAAGTATTTTATTAGGGTATTTTTCTGGACAGAAATTTAGGCCTTTAGAAAGGACAGAATTTTCAGTTTTGGTAAGCATGTGTGTGGATTGATAATATTTGTGGGTTGGTTGCTGCTTTCAGTTTCATCAAGTCTGAGGTTGGAATGTTGTAAGGTGTTGGTGTTGTTCCTCTGATGGTGGTATTGTGGCTGGGAGCTTGTTCTTGGAGTAATTTGTTCCATTTCTTCTTTTTATGTAGGATGAATGCTGTAGAAAATTTTTTTGTAGTCTCTTTGTATACACTGTGACACTGTATATTGTCAGGGAACATGCATGGATTTCTATCTTTTAAGTTGTTGTAGTATATGGCGATTTCCTTCCTGAGTTGGTCTCTTTTGGAGTACAGTAGGTTAAGTAGATGATTTCTAATTTTCTCTGAAGTTCTTCTGCATAGCTGTGAAGCATATTTGGAGTTGTGTGTAGTAGTCAGGGGATTGTAGATGTTTAGTCCTCGGGGAATGATGTTGTGTTTCTTGCAAAGGCTTAGAAAATATATGCCACTGTTGAGTCTGGCTTCTTTCTTTTTCATGTTGTACAGTTTCCATTTCAGACGGATGAATTCAATATCTTCCATGTTTGGGTGTGCCTAGCAGTTAGATCCAGTTTTTATCGCTAAGGCTGAACCCTGAGCAAAAAATTGTTAGGCCAGCTAATCTCACAGCTACAGCTTTGCCTCTGGGGCCGAGTCAGTTCCATGAACAGTTAATTTATCAGTTTGGTTAAACTTATGACAGACAAGTTACATTTGCAGTTTACAAACTTACAAGCTTATATTAACTAATATTACCTATTTAGGCAAAATACCAAATGCCTCCAAGAAGCACATATTATTGCTTATTAATCCCTCTGGTCCTGGCTGTCACAGCTGAGGCTTGCCAGGAAGCAGAGTTCAGGACAGGGGAGAGCCTGAGTCATCCCAGGAGAAACTGATTCCTCACTCAGGTTGGAGCTGTGCCCTCAGGGACACAAGTACCCACAGAGGGAGTGGGGAAGGGTTTGTAAGCTGGCTGGGCATTGGGAGAAGCTGCTGGGTCAGAGACATGTTAGGAGAAACCCCTGTTTAAGGTAGGAGAGTTTGAGTGGCTTGGTTGGGGACCTGAAAAAAAAAAGGGAGGAAGTTCCCCGTCAGAGCTGGGAAAAAGATCTCTTGGGCCAGGTTGTAAGCATCAGGAGGGGAACTGGTGTCAGAGGATGATCGGCTGAAGAGGCACCAGAGTCACGGGAAGGGGGTATGGGGAAGGAAGCCTCTGAAGTATAACCCTATAGAGTGTGCAGACAATTTGTTCCAGGCTGTATAAGAAGAAGTCACCTTCTGCATCATGGACTGGTGGGTTTGACTTGGGAGCAGCAGAGAACTCTGCTAAAGGGACACCCATGTCCAAAGTGAAGCTGGAGCACATTGCACCACCTAGCAGTGGACCACCACAACAACTGTTTCTGTTTAGTTGCAGGATGGGGAGTGGATGTTAACCCCAGAGGGAAACTGTTTCAAAGGTTATGACCAGGGGAATGTAATCAGTGAGGGGGTTGATTGTAAATGGTAGCAACCACTGGTTCTCTTAATGTTGTATTTGTAAATAGTAGTCAAATTATTGTTGCTTTCTAATAATTTACCATTTATATATATATATATATATATATATTCCTGATATTGTTATTAATCCATTTTCCCCTTCCTGTATATAGTTGTGTATGAATAAAGAAAACCCCTTTTTCTCAGTGGGGCTTATAGTGAGGTTCTTGGGCAGTGAGGGCGAGGGACACTCTCCTCAGGGACACCCCAATTGGAAAATCTACCTGAGGGAATTCCCAAGGTTACTGGCACCCCGAGCATCTGGAATCTGGCACATCACCTGGCCTAGTGTGCCGGCAAGGGTTATCAATACTCTTAATGCATTATTATTTCTTATTTTATCATGTAAGAACATTTTGGATAGATTTCATAGACATCAGGGCTGGAAGGGACCTCGGAAAATCATCGAGTCCAGCCCCCCGCCCAAAGGGCAGGAAGTCAGCTGGGGTCATAGGATCCCAGCAAGATAAGCATCCAGTTTCATCTTGAAGGAAATAATGAATGTCAGTGGAAGAATGCAGCAGTTGAAAGCTTCACCAAAGCTGAAGCTCCCCGGACAGTAAAGAAGTTCTTCCTTATGTCCAGACTGAAACGATCTTGAAGTAGTTTGTGACCATTCGACCTCGTCATCCGTTTGGGGCGCTCTGGTGAACAAACGTTCCCCCAGATGCTGGTGGTCACCCCTGATAAACTTGTAGGTGGCCATCAGATCACCCCTGAGCCTGTGCTCAGCCTTGCCCCTGCTGTTCTGTGGGATGTCCTTGGGCTCTGCTCATGTGAGAAGGGGCTGGCAGCATCGGACTTGGAGCTCCTGGTTCAGACCCCTGAGCAGTGCATCCCAAGGCTTCCCCTCCTGCTGTCTCCACATAATTGCTATTCTCCGGGGTGGCTCGAGACTGATCTAATTCCACTCGTGTGCTGTGGCTGTGGGGATTAGCAGCGCTCAGCTCTCAAGCGCCGGTGCTCCGTGTGCTGGGTGAATGTCACTCTCAGCCTGCTCCCTGGTCTCTCAAAGCCGGGGGAAAGGTGGCTATGACCCATGCGGGCTTGGGGTCCCTGGCATTGCCAGAGGCATGGGTTCGGAGTGGCCTGAGTAGCCTCACAGCCCCTGATGCAGCACTGAGCATCCTTGGAGCTGCTTCGGTTCAGAGGTGGCTGGCTGGCTTCTCACTGCTGGAGCCCAGAGGGGAGTGGGGATGGGATAAGACAGCAGTACATTTGTACGCTACTCTCCCAGGGACCTATTGGTGCCCTGGACCTCATCAGCCGCAGACACTGAAGCAACCATGGCAGAAGCTGCCCCACAGCTCTGGGTGCAGCTCGGAGCTGTACTGAGCTCCCCAAAGCTGCAGAAGAGATCCCTCCTGCCTGCACCTGCCACCCCCTTCTCTCAGACCCCCAGCCAGACACTGCCATGGGGAGAGGATCAGCGGGGGGCGCTTGTGAGCTTTGCAGAGCAGTCTGCTGTCTTTCCGGCCTGAGACAGCAAGAGCCCTGGGAAAGCAGGGACTGTAAACAGTTTACCAGTGCCCAGACTGGCAGCCTGCAGAGCAGAGAGCATCCTCGCTGACCCGGGCACCGGTCCCCACTGGGCAGCTTCCGCAGAGGCTGCTATTTGCTGGTCCTGCATGAGAGGAGCTGAGCGAGAAGCACATGATCACGCATGTTCCCAGCTCTGCCAGCTGCAAGGCAGCAAGCCAAGCTTTGCTATCTCTGCTGTCCCTGTGCGGCGCCAGGCATGACGATTCATTTATGTGTGCGCCTGGGTACCAGGAGAAATGATAGAGCAATGAACTTCCCACCTGCTCAACTGCATTTGCTGCCTGACATAGCAAATGAATGTCCGTGTGTTTGCTATCACATGTGTGACAGGCCACCTGTTTCTTCCCAGATCGGTTTTCAAGGACTCCCAGGGCACCCTGGATCTCGAAGGGAAATTCTCCCCTCTGTACAAACAAGACAGTGGCAAGCTCTCTAATGAGGATATGCTGAAGCTATTAGCAGAGTATAAGAAGTAAGTTCAAGGAACCGGCATGGAGGCTGAATAGGCAAATGTACATGTGAGATGTTTCTCTCTAAAGCCCCTGGAGGGTGCCCAAATACCAGGCAGTTCACTTTCCAATCTCTTTTCTTTCTTTCCAACACAGGCCAGAGAAGACAAAACTGCAAGTTATCCCAGGCCAGTTAAATATCACAGTTGAATGTGCCCCCCTGGACTCCTCAAGTAAGAAACTTGGACCTGAGAATAACCAGTAACGGTGCTACCCTTGCGCGCTAACATATTAATGGCGTGCTTTGCTGTATTACTACCCAACAGGAGTATCTGAGCTTGACCGTAAGAAATAGGGAGCAAGCAGCTTAGCCCAGCTGACCTTTCTAAATCTTTCTAGCGGGTGCAGCAGAAAGCTTGAGCTCAATGCAAAGAGCGATTGTAAGGACCTTGCACATGAGGTCTTTGTGCTTGTGAGAATCTAAAGATGAACATCTTGTCATTCAATCTGCTGTTGGCAATTCAACTACCATTTTACTTTATTCTCCCAATATATTCTGTGGGGATCTGTCTAGCAGCACTCTTACCTGCACCAGTGTGGGGAGTCATTGCACGTACATGGGGAGGAGTACAACCTGGTGCTCTACAGTTTTGTTTTCCAGCTTTAGGAAATCTGTATCTCTGGATATTGTGATTATATAAATATAATTTCTCCCATGCAAATAATAATAATACTATTCAGAGAATTATCCTCGTCATCACCCCCTCTTATGTAGGATCCCCCCCCGTAGATCTCGGAGTGCTTTACGAGGGAGGTCAGGGGCATTAGTCCTGTCTTGCTGGTGGCTAGGAGAGGAGAAGGGAGTGGGCCACATCATCTCCTCTGCCTTGCACACGCAGCCCTCTGGCCTCCATGACTGTACAGACAGACTTCCAGCACTGAGCTGCTGCCCGTGGTGTTTCCCGTTCTGTCTGACACCTGCTTATCGGAGCTCGTTGTTCCCCTCCAGATTGTGTCACTTCATCTTATATCCCCATCAAGCCTTTTGGGAAGGGCTGTGAGAGCATCGCTGTTGAGGTGGAAGAGTTTGTCCCAGAAGTGGCCAAATACTGCTACCCCTTCACGATCTATAAGAACCACCTTTATGTGTACCCCCTGCACCTAAAGTATGACAACCAGAAGACGTTTGCAAAGGTGAGTCGCACAGACCTTTGCAACACAGCCTCTCCTCCGCTGATACGGTGCTCTCACCTCTCTCACTGACTGTGCCGCTCTTTCCACCCCCCAGGCGAGGAATATCGCCATCTGCATCGAGTTCAGGGATTCAGATGAAGCTGATGCCAGAGCCCTCAAGGTGGGTTTGTAATCCAGCGACTGGGAATGGGGTGGCGTTCCTGCCTGACAGTCTCTCAGCAGGAGAGAGCGGGGTCTAGGGCACATTGCCTCTCCCCCTGTGTTTCATGCACGGGGCTGGCAGCTTGAGGGTCCATCTCCCTATCCTTCCAGTGCATTTATGGCAAGCCAGGAGGACAGCTCTTGACAGCCAGTGCCTGTGCCATCGTGTTGCATCATAACCAAAGTCCGGAGTTCTACGATGAGGTAAAAACCAAATTGCAAAACAGTTGTCAGGGATTTAAGGCAGCTGAGCGGGCCCTCAGCACACCTCTCCTCCCCTAGTTGGATGTGAATGGGGGTGTTAACTAGCAGCAGTCCTTGCACGCAGTGAAACCAGGGACTGTTTTTTAATGTTCAGCTTGTGTTCTGCTGTGGGACGTGCGTAGTAGATAGCTTTATCCCTGACAGGCTGTTATCACAGGGTATAAATAACACGCAGGCAGGATGAACATGCTGCACAGTATGGAGCTAAGATGTGTACAAATAGGCTTGTGCCGTCGCTCCGGTTCTGGGTGATAGCAAGGTTTGGTAAATAAAATGGCTGAAAATGGGAACTCGGCCATTAAACCGTCTGCCCTGGTCTCGCTGTAGATAAAAATTGAGCTCCCGATTCACCTCCATCAGAAGCACCATTTGCTTTTCACCTTCTATCACGTCAGCTGTGAAATTAACACCAAGGCCACCACGAAGAAGCAGGACACCGTGGAAACTCCAGGTACGCGGAAGGCCTCAAGTCCAGCCACTGGCCCCGAGGGCATGGCGATGGGTGAATGTTCAAGCTGTGAATTAATAGCAAGTGAGCTCCAGGGAAGCAGGCACAGCTCTGTTTTAATGGTCTTGCCGGATAAGGACACAGCCCACTTGGTGTGGCCTAGAACCCAGTTGTTGAGCATGCAAACCTTTTTGCAGACCCTTCTCCTTGCTCATGAGGCGCCCCTCTACTCATATGAGTGAAGTCCCACATGGGCCAGGGCAGGATTGGGGCCTCAGGGTCAGATCCCCGCCATGCAGAACCCCTCCAAGTGCTGGTGTGCACACAAGTCCTGTTGAAGTAGGCAGAGGGAGCTCTTATTGGAGGATATTCATCCTTGTCCCCCATGCTCACCAAGGCTTATGCATCCCCTGCAAGCCCCTGTGGTCCTGATTGATTTTCATGCAGTCTTCCGTGGCACTGGTGTGGCTGCCTGCAGAAATGCTCAGCTCGGGGGTTCCTCAAAACCCCAGTGTCCAGGCCTCTGGGGGGCTTCGGGGGAGCGGGGGCACAGCGAGCTTTCACCCACGTGTCTCTCGCCGCTTCCGAGCCTAACCGAGTTCTGATTTGTGCACAGTGTGTAAAAAGTAGCAGAAAAAATAGTCCATACTATAGGGTTCTTCTTCCTTCCCCCCTCCCTTATTTCATAGAGTTATAAACTAGTAATTAATTAGACTTTTAACTTCCCTAGTCAAGGACTATCTCCTCTAGAAATGAACTCTGAATAAAGGAGACCCTCCTCATGGTTATCATGTAATTGCATGGAGTCATATAAAGAGGTTGATAGATATAAATATTCTCTGCTAAGGTACAGATATTTAGAAAGGAATAATAGTATTATTTTGGGGGTGCTAGATGCACTCTGCTGAAACACTTGCAATCTTAGGGCCATTTCAGGTACTCTTACAAAGGTGACAGCTTTTATATTTACTCACATACCACACACACCTTCCCCGCAAAAACAGGAATCCAGAATCTTAATTGTGTACCTTAATTATTGAATTTGAGTTTTATTCACTGAAATAGAAGCAGGGAGAGTCAAGCAGACACAGCAGGTGGGTCCAGACGAGAGCAGTTGTGTGGTATGTGGTGCTGCAAACACGTCTGGTGTTTTCTGCACTGCGAAGGTGTACACTGCTTTGGGGTTATCTTTCCCTGAATATCCAGGGGTCAAAAAAATCTACAGAAAAAATGAACAAATCTGGAGCAGCACATACTCAGCTAGCATGCAATCCTGAAAAGTGGAACCAGTGTCCCAGAGCCACACTGCCATTGCCAGCCAGGCTCCCCCCAGCAGGATCACTGTGGCTGCAGCCCCATCAAGCCCTCAGGACCCCAGGTAAGGCTGCTGGGGCCAGCAAAGCACTGGCCATAACCTGCCCTACTGCCCCTGGGGGTAACTTGTTGCATGACAAGGCATGCGTGGCATGGGTGTTCCCTGGGTACAAGTAGCTGTGGTGCAAGGTGCTCTGCTGCTACTTGTCCCTAGGAAAACAAATGTATACAAATGTCTAGATGTGCCCAGAGGGTACAAAGCAGTTCTTGTAGGATTCAGCTCAAATTTAAGAAGCCTAATTTAAACTGCGTAAGTCTAAACTAGGAGCAGGATGTGCAAACATTTGCCTTTTGCTTGGAGTGGTACAGGCCTTTGAAGGTAAGTGATTGGGGAAGGGGGGAGAGGAGTTGAGAGGATCAAAGCAGGGCCAATAGCTGCATCGAAGTGGCTTCTTAGTTTGGGGGCATGGTTTGGGGGTGCTAAAAATAGCCTGGTCTAGAGGTCAAGAATAGCACAGTGCTGTAACTATGGATAGTGTTTGAACTTTCCCAGCCCTGGGGCTGTGCTGTGCATTTATGCAAGTGCTCATTCAACTGGGTTAACCCTTTATTGATCTAAAGTTCCTTCACTTCTGACACGAATAAACTCTAGATCAGGCATGCCATTTTTAGAATAGCCTAAGTCCCATGAACACTTGCCTGCCAAAGTATTTAGACCAATTTAACTTAGTTAGGTCCATCTAAATCTAACACTTGTATGTACCTTGTTTCTCATGGCTTAACAACAAAGCTAATCCTAACCCTTTATTGATACAATTTTGGGGGAGAGGGATTGCATTATTTCTTATTTTGATTGCCATAAAGTTCTTACTGACAGGAAAGTTTCATCTGAGCTAAGAGTTCCTTTACTGTATCATTATTGAAACTAATTGAAAAGTTAGACCTTGTTTCCATTGGTGTAATCAAGAATACCTTTTAACCTGCAATATTTAAAGTATTGAATTTTACATGCTTACTTTATAGGCGAGACAAGAACTGAGAGCTCGGTTTGTGCTTTACTAGTGAAGAGATGCAACCCAAGTAACTACAATTACTTCAATTATTAAGTAGTATTATTTTGATTTACATAATAATAAATAACAGTGAGAGAAGGAAAATTTTCTCATATTCATTTTTTTTTAACCACCTGCTTTATTCAAATATAAAGCTTTTTGAACCTCAAAGCCAGGAAATTCATGAAAAGAGGTTTTATTACAAGCATTTTTAAAATTATAATATAAAATAAGAGGTGGTTAAGAACTATTTGAACTATCACCATATTATTTCTTTGTGTTTGTCAAGTTATAAATGCATCTAGGGATGATAACTTTATTTGTAAAAGTAGTGCATAAGATTATGGAATAGTTCCTAATCAAGACAGGATTTTGTCTCTCTCCCACCAAAATTAAACTATTTATTCAATTTAATTTATTTACTTCTAGTTGTAATTCAAAAGCCCAATGTTAAATAATGCCTTTGCCTCTTTGGTGTTTCTACATTGTGAAGTAGAGTGAAATTTGTTAACATTTTCTTGCTTATGAATTTAAAACCAGATGTTTACTGCTATTTTGAACGCAAATAAATTTTTTACTTGTTTTAGACACAACTGGGAGAACAATGTTTTGATATTTTTTCAAGGCACCAGTCACAGATATTTGTATATATGCTTACATTATGAGTACTCCACTGCTGACTTTGGTGTCTATGTTGAAACTTGAACACATGCTTAACTAGCCTGTTCAAGACAGCACAGACTATCTATTGCATAAACAATATCAGTATTTAGCATATTCTGTTATATTTCTTCACAATAATATAAACTCTTAATATAAATCAAAATCAAGTAATCAAAATCAAGTAGACATGGCTGCTGAAGAAAACTGCTCCTAATTAAAGATGCATTTATTTATTATATTATGAAATCATTTGACATATTCTAAATAAATGGTGACAGTACAAACTTCATAGAAATCTGCAGAGATTAGATCCTAACATCGCTCTTGTGCTCCAGAATATCAGTTAAGTATTTTTCGTTTGTTAAACATTTATACCCTGCATCATGTATCAAACATATTTATAATTACTCAGATTAAATATATATGATAAAGATGTTCTTTAAATAATTGAACACATATGGTCCTTGGCAGTAATAATAAACCATCCTTTGAACTACAGTATAATTTTGCATAGGGAATAACTAGAATGTATTTAAAAGGCAATCATTTACTGAGCCAGAAATCTGCACCATATTATGTTAATTCCAACATTGTTTTAATGAGCTTTAATCTTATTTACATGTGCTGCTCATATACAAAAGACACTGAATAGCTATGTCTATTTTTGGCAGTGAATACATTTTACCTTATTTTAAAAAAATATTCTTTGATTCATCTATCCACGCTTTTTTTTAAAGTTCCAACAGTCCAGATTAGTCTAAATGTACTCTTAAAAACTGCATTCATAGCAATAAGCATTTACATTACAGACATGAAACTTCTGATAAAGTACTAAGACTATAGCTTCACTGTACCTACTCTGATGTTACAGAGTTAAAATAGCAGTGAAACAAGCAGTAAGAAATGTTGCTGTCACATAGGAAGTGATGGCCTTTCACAGTACAATTTTAATTTGTTGAGCCATTATGGAGGGAAAAAGGACTGCCACCTCACATCTGAAACTCCTTGCCTAGCATGGAATTGTGCACTAATTTATTTCTAGTGAAATGGATCATTTCACTTCAATGGGTTCAAAAGATTTGTATTAGGCCCAGTGCTGATGCATAGGGGGTGCACATGCACCCCCTGAGAGTGCTGGTGCACCCCCTGACAGCCAGAGCTCCCCAGTTAGGCAATGGGCAGGAGGGGCAGGTGGGAGCGTCGGTGCCTTGCCCTGCAAGTGCCATCCGGGAAGTGGGGGCACCAGGAAAAGCACCACTGGCTCTTCCAGGAGTGCCATTCATGCTTCTGGGTTGGCACAATCAGCCACAGGGGGAACCCCCTGTTGGCACGATTGGGAGTGGGGGGCCCCCCCTCCCTCGGTTGAGCCAGGCTTTTTGAATGTCTGTACCTAGACAGAAACAATTTTTCTCTCTCTTTTCACTGCTGTAATGCCTGAACCTTGAACACTATTCAGTATGTACTAGGGCTTAAAATAGAAAAAACAGTTTATCTTAGGGCTGATTGTCCTGATCTTAAACTTGTATTAAAACAGGTGAGGAGGAGGTAGAGACTGAGGTGGAGGGAGAGGAGGGGCAGGGAGAGGGGATGGGAGGCAGTCATTTACACATGCAGTTTGACTGGCAGTTAACTTGAATTAGCTGGGATTGTTCCCAGACAAGGTGTTAATTCAGATTCTTCACAGGTACTAAATAAGGGACAAAGGGCTTGTCTTTGTTCAAGGTCTGGGGTTTGCAGTGACACAAGAATCTCAAATCTGAATCAAACCAGTTGCCTGTTTTTAACTACAGGTAATTATGGTGGGACAACAGGTTTGTACGTTAGAATAAAAGGCTTTGTCTGGAGAAAGCCATCCTCTGTTTTTAGCTTAGATGTCATAGGAGATGAAAGAGGCTCCACTTTTGTTTTTTTCTAATTTTCATATAGAAAAACAAATAATATGAGTGAAATATTCCTAGCTACTCATATTACGTCTTCCTAAGTTTTACAATACATAAGAATATTACGGTCTAAAAACCATAAAAGGAGAAAATACTATAAGGTTCAGAACTGACAGAAGGGACAGGCTGATTTTAATAAAATCATTAGCTTTGTATAAGAGTAGACTGATGGCACTGAAAAATAAAACAAAACAAAAAATGAAATACACCCTTCAATTGGTGAATCTCTCCTGAATCTCTTTAATTTTTCTACATATCTACTCCTGTTTTCCTGGGAGTTCATATTAAATAAGGTGATTAAGTGAGAGGATTTTTAGGGTCCATCCAGGAAAATAAAATATATATAACAACACTTGCTTAACTCTGTACCACATGCTCCCTTATGTTCAAATATACTTCATTCTAATTAGTCAGGAAGCTAGTCCAAGTGAGAGAATCATGTTTACAGTCTCAAATGGTTAGGGTTGCTACAAGTACACAAGTACATTCTTCTCTCCCAATTAAATATTATACAACTGTGTTTTGAAACTGTATGTTTTACTGCAAGAATAAGTGCAACTTATCTGTTAGGACTAGATCATGATATCTTTATTGACAATGAGTGATACTTTACGCCATAAGAAGCCCCACTGAATTTAATGGCACTACCTGTGGTTTAAGTTTCAAATATATAAAAGGATGGAAATACAGGCCTTAGAAAGCAAAATTTGTGCTTCTTTTTAGGGCCAATTTGATCTTGTTTCAGTCTGTTGGGGAGGATCAGTGACATTCAGGGACTTACACTTTTATGGACCTATCAGCTATTATTACTAAGGTATATTATTTATTATGATGGAGGTCCAGCACACTGATAACCAGGGATCCTGGTTTTCTCTGATTAAAAATTACAAATTCTCTGATTAAAAACTGCAAATTCTCTGATTAAAAACCCAAAATCCGTGATAAAATTTAAAGGCCCCCGACAGCCTGTCCCAGTGCTGCTGGTGCCCTGCACTCCCCTCCACAGTCTCAACAGCCCACCTGATGCCCCTCGCAACAGCCCTCCAGACCCACAGACATGCAGACACAGACACTGACACCCACCCCAGCAGGTAAGTGTGTGTGGGGGGAAAAGGTGGGACAGGGCAGGGGAAAGGGAAGGTGCTGGGGGGCTAAATCAAGAAGAGGGGGAGTGTGCCCCTGTGCCCACTCCCAGGAGCAGGGCTGGGGGGTGAGGGCAGGGATGCCACTCTGTGGGCCACACACATGTTGGCCGGCCTGACAGGAGATTCGCACGTGGAGGCCGCCACCACAACTCTGCCACTGCATCCTGCTCTACCATCCCATAGCCACCTGAATGGCTTTGTGAGCAAGTGGCGAAGGGTGTGGCAGCAGCAGTGCAGTGGAAACCACTGTGTGGGCCACATATGTGCTTCCTGGCTGCAGGGTGAAATGGGGGGCTTGCATTCAGCAGCATGCCCCGCAACCAACTGCATGGCTCCACGGTGGCGTCTGCATGCAGGGTCGGGGGGCTTTGTGGGCAAGCACTACCACCACAGAGCCATGCCCTTTGCCCCTAGAGGTAAGTGGGGCTTGGGGGCTGTGGGGCAGGGCTGGGGAAGATGGTTGGGGGCTGAGGGAGTGGGGGATGCTACCGGCCCCAGGTGGCACATCGCAGCTGGGAGCAGGGCCAAGGAGTGAGAGCAGGGGTTCTCCTCTGTGGGGGGCTTTGCAGGCAAGCAAAGCAGGGCACAGTGTGGTGGTGCCTGCCATGTGCAGGTCACACACATGCCACCCGGCTGCCTGCCCAGGGGAGGGGGAGATGGAGGCTGGCATGCAGCTGGAGCACAGCTCTGTGGCTGGCTTTGCAGCCATGGTGAGGGATGGGTGGGGGGCTTGCATGCAGCGCTGCTGCTTACCTGGAGGCCCATTATAGCAGTGACGGCCGCTGCCTCCAAAACCTCCTGCTGCTGTGAAGCTGTGCTCAGAGCTGTGTGGTCGGTGGCAGCAGCGCAGCACAGCGCAGGATGGTGGGGATGGCTGCATGCTGCCTGGCTACCA